AGCGAGCCAGAACGAAGTGAATCTAAAGTATCGTAGGTGGCCGGCTTGGCGTTCACTCCATAGGAAGTATGAATTTCAATGCGTTTTACTGCGTGCCTAACAGGGTGGACCCCGCGGCCCGCGTCGAACTGGAGGAAGCACATTAAAAAAGTTTTGGCTTATTTAGATTAAGCTTTAGACGAGATACGAAGGAAGGATAGTGTAGAAGTGTGCGCGAGCGCGCAGCTCGGGGTACCGACCCAGCGAGAGGCGAAGGAGAGAGAGAGAGAAGGAGAGAGAAGGAGAGTTGCCTCGATAAATCAAAACGCTCAACACGTCATTCGTGCACATCCAGAACGTGACGTGCTCCCTCCTCTCCGTCCCCCCCTCGACTGGACGCTGAGCAAACACACACACACAGAGGCCCCCGCCGACTTGGCAGAGGGCGGGAGGGAGTGCGAGCGAGAGAGCGAGCGAGAGAGTGAGCGAGAGAGGCGCCTCGCCTCGAGGAAGAGCCTCTCACCCCGGAGAGGAGAGGCTGCGGCCCCCTCCACCGCGCCGCGGGTGGGCGGGGCTCCGTCGCGGCGCTGGCCAATGGCGGGGCGCGGGCTGCCGCCGGCCCGGGACGAGCTTGGGCGCGTCGCCGTGGGGGAGCGCCAGCGTCGCGCCTCGAGACGGACCCGGCGGCGGCGTCCGCGCGAGACAGAGCGAGTGAGCGAGCGAGCGGACGAGAGCGAGCGAGAGAGACAGAGAGTCAGGGGCGGAGCAGGGCCGGGCGCGGCTGGCTCGCTCTCGCTCGCCGGCGCTCACTCCGCGGACGACCTCCGTGCCGAGAGAGCCGACCGTGCTGCTGGCGCTGCCGCTGGCCCCCGCTGCTCCCGACGGCGGCTCGCGTGTTGTTCGTGTAGTGCCGGCGTGGAGTGGACCTGCGCAGTGCGAGTGCGCCCCCTCCTCCCCCCAGTGCGTGCCACCCACCACCCCCCGCCAGCCCGACCGGGCCGAGGATCACGATGTCGATGGTGATGATGGTGACGGCGGCTGTGGCTCCCGACGAAGAACACGAGGTCGCCGTCAGTGCCAGTGCAGTGCTTTGTGTGTGAGTGCAGTGAGTGTTGATTGTGAGTGGAGTGCCGCCGGGGAGTGCCCGGCCGTGCCGTGGAGGACGCCGTCAGACACCCAGAAGCGCGCGGCACCGGAGCCCCCATGGGAGTGTATGAGAACCAACCAGCACAACGCACCGGGATGCATTGGGTGAGTACGGCCACCGCGCCCTTCATTTCTTCATCGATTTGTTCATTTATTTTATTCGTTCGTAGTGCATGTTAGTGTCAAAAGAGCTTTGGTCATCGCTTATGTATACTTATACCACACCCCTTGGGTACTATTTTAGAATCTTTCTAACTCAATATTCTTGATAATTATTTTATAAACGAATTTCATTTTGTAAGAAAGATATTCCACGAGATTTGCCATTTACGCACTGTCTCTACCACAACGCTGTCTCCTTGGGGACCTAAACGCCCGTGCAATGTAAAATTTGGATTGCACTATCTAATCAATATGCATTCGTTGTGTTGTACAGTTCGGAAGTAGTGTTAGATATATTTGCTAGTTTGGTTTTACAAATGCCCTGTCTTTCAAACGAATGCGGTTTATATAATTTGCGTTCCGACATGCAGCTCGATGCGGATGTCCTCCTGCTGTCTCTCTCTCACCTACACCTTTCTTGGTCCCCATTTCCCTAAAAGCGTTTATGAACGTTGCATGATGATACTGGAAGGCCGGAAGTGGAGCGTTATCGCCGTTTTGATAAAGCGCGCTTCTGCCGCTGGTCCACCAAAAAAGCGCCTCTTGGACGCCATTTTAACGCGTCGGCCCACTTGACGGGTTGAAAAAGTAACGGAAACAAACAAAGATTACATATTTTTATTTTAATCACAGATAGCTCCCCTGATTCGCATTAAAAGCTTGCAAAAATTTGCAATTTGCTTCAATGAAGGAAAGCGGCAAGGTAATGTAAACGTTCCTCATGTCAAGTGAACCAATAGCACCACCACCATAGTGTTAAAACGAATCTTTGTAAAATATAAAGTGAGACGCCTTTCGTCGGCATGTGGTTGTACGGCAGGTGTCGCGGCCTCATCATGCTAATGTGTTGTCTTGTAAATTACGAGCAGCAGCAAAGCCGGCCGGGGAGAGGCGGGGCACGAGGCAGCGGCGGGGCGGGGCGGCGGGGCGCGCAGATCTAGTTCCATTCCGGACGATTTGCGTGCAAAACGGTGCGGCCGCCGCGCGGGAGTAGGCCGGCTGTCATTTGCACTTTGCACCCCGACTTCGTGTATAAGTTGAAACATTTTGTGAGGTGTTTATATCTCTACCAGCGGGGCAAATGCAGGAGACATGTTGGACCGTCGATCCTTTTACTCCAAACAGCAAAAGGCCCTCGAGGGTGGCGAGCGGCCCACAGGCTCAGTCCGGCCTACCGATACGATATCGTGGGACCGGGTCGATCTCATTCATTGGGGCGGAAGCCTTATTCGCAGGCCGGCTGTCTCTCCCGGGGGACCGACCGTTAGCCGGGCCTTAGGCAGACCGTCATACCGAATATGGAGCCATAAAATTATTTGGTTTGTTTGGACGTCGTAAAAGCATTTGGCTCGTAAAGGGTGTGTGCTTGTGTGCGAGTGTGTGCTCTGGGCATTTAGGTAATGAGAAATTAAAAAGGAGTTAAAACAAACAATTATTTCCATAACTCGTGAAATTTATGTGATTCTGCCTGTACATTTTTTTTTGGTTTGGTGTCTCCCTTCAGCCGTACCCATCGCTACCACCGCCGCCGCAGCGCGTTGGTTACATGGTCATACCTCCTTCGCGCCCCAATGGAATCCGTTGGGAAGAAAAAAGCTTTTTGGAAGCTAGCGGAAGCAGAAATGACAGAAGTGCGGCCGCAGTGTGATTCCTCCCCTCTCCGTTTTACTGCAATATTACCTGCCTCCAATTATGTTCAAAATTTATCGTGCGGAACCGCATCAAATTATGTGAGTGCTTTTGTTTTTGATGGCGGTGAAACCCTTCTGCCTCCCTCTGTGTGTGGCACATACTGATAGTCGTGGGGGTCCGGCCCTGAGCTTGATGCAGGTCGACACGGTGGTCTGTCACGCTGGCCGCGAAGTCGGTCGCGGGAACTGCGGGCGACCCAAAGCGCGCACACACTCGAGACCTCTTGGGTCGACGCCGCCTGCCGGGATTTCCTCCTATGATCGATCCTCTCAAGGAGGACGTTTTCCAGGAGAAATAAAGAAAGGCATTCCAGGCATTCGCGGGCGCGGGTGGTGGCTCTGCAGCAGCGCCGCCGTGGAAACTCAATGTCCCGGAACCATATTGTAACCGTCCTGCTTCATGGCCTGTGGGTGCCCGTGGCCGCCTAGTGGCTGCCCAGTGCCGGGCCGTGCGCGCCCCCCGTGCCTTGCCCAGTGCCTTGCCCGCCGTGGCCGCGTGGTTTTGATGTTCTTCCCTCACGAAGTCTTTTATGCACGCAATTACCACCCAAGGCGCGCCCTTCTGCTAACTAGTACAACAGGAGGAGCCTTTTATTGCACTTAATTAAATAATATGGAAAAAGTGCAGCCGGCCGCCGCCGCGCACAAAATGTGACGCCATATATTTCTCTCTCGACCGCGAGCGGTTTTATGTGGCGTCGTAGTACGCGGTCTTTGATGTACAACGAAACGCACCTCACACCAGCGAACGGGCTGGCCCTCATACCCACCCCTCAGCCGAGACGCACTCGAAGGTCTGAAGCAATTTGTTCGCAGAATTATTTTGAAGTCGCGCTAAATTGTATATACTATATCACCTATGAAATTGCATTTGACGATATTTTTTCGGTTTTTAAATTTCAAATTTCGACAAGGGTCGAGACGATTTTTTGGGGTGGACCTTTTTGTATGGCGAGAACATTTTCTACCTCTTTCTCTCCTTCCTGCTGCCAGTCTCATGTGGCGAAGCTGTGGGTGCAGGAGGAGCAACATATGTGTATCGACTCAATGTGGGAGGGGCGACGAGAGAGAGAGAGAGAGAGAGAGAGCGCCCTGCTACCGGTTCGATCCCGCCTCCTGTTCCTCCTGGCAGCCCCGCCTCGCCCCGTCCCGCTGCTGGCGTTCGATAAGCTTTGTGTCAAACTAAAACTTATTGTCTCGCTGCCGAGTGACTACACCGTCAACATTATATATACCGGTGAAGAAATTCCCCAGAGAACGCGTATTATAGTTAATTTTGCATATAGTTTGTTTCAGTTTTTAAACGTATCAATCAGTAAACACGGGGTTTAGAAACTTGCAAACAAAATTACTAACCAATGTTTTTTCATGAGGCGTATTAAGTATGCAGAAGTGGGGGCACAAGTTTGACCTCGGCGTAAGAAGTATGCGCCGAAAAGGTGGTAATCTTGCATTGCAGCAGAAGGAAACGGGTGGAGTGGCAAAGCGGGGTCGATTATCGCCAGAGAGCGTTTTGCGCCGTTCGAAGTCGAGGCTGCTATCGAAGCCGACAGGAGTTTTCAGTTAGGCGTGCCGCGCTCCTGCTGCTGCTGCAGGGCCTCCGCTGGATACGAGTGCGCGGGGCTGCCGGCCAGCAGGTCTTGCAGCAGCAGCAGGACCAGGAGGGGGGGGAGGAGATGAAGGGGTAGGAGGATGTCATCGGTTACGTCCATTCAGAGTATATACACAGAGTGACGTAGGACGCGCTTGCAGTGGCCGGGCCGGGCGGCAGGACGATCTGCTCCAGGTTTATTGCTCGCCGGGCCCCCTTCAGTACCCCCGCCCCCTCTCCT